ATACCCCCTAATTAAGGAATATACCTTAGATTACTGAGGCCTTAATATTATGATTCAAGGTATATTCCTTAAGTAAGGGGTATTGGGTTCTCTAGGTTACAGGGGATCTGGCCCGATGGCATTCGCTTCTCACTCATCCTTCCACAGAGCAGCTCCTTGGAACCATTCCCGGGGTTTCCGATCAGGAAACTTAGGGTTTAGGGTTTTAGGGTTTAGGGTTTTAGGGTTTAGGGTTTGGGGTTTTAGGGTTTAGGGTTTTAGAGTGTAGGGGTTTGGGGGTTTCCGACACTGGGTGCTTGGGGTTGTGGGCTAGCCCCCATCTGCAGTCTCCGCTGACCGAGCGGGTACTTCCGAATCCATGCTGCGACGAGCCCAGTTAAAGGAAACTACAGGTGGGGAGTTTAGGGTAAAGAGGGCTTCTATAAGGCTTGTATAAGGTATATGGAGCTTCTATAAGGCTCCTATAACGGTAACTACCCACCTGAAACTGTCCTAGACCCAGGTCCAACCTCCGCTGCCTGAGTATCTGAGCCACCGGCATGGCGACACGAGCTTCTGTGACATTGCCTCTTTCCAGGCAGGAACTGTTTGTGGACCCATATAAGTGCTGTCCAAAAGCCTCGAAGCAAACAGGGAGAAGTCAGCTCAGAAGTAGACCTCGGGGCCCTGAGCCTGCAACCCCATTGGACTCTGAACCCAGCCTTGACCCCTGCCCTACCCTCCCAGGCCCCAAACCCCAAATCGTCGCAAACCGTACCAAGTTGGCGGGTAAACCCAAAACCCAAACTTCGCCTAAGTGCGCCAGCGCAGGTTTTGGGTTTGCACAGGCAGGGCAGGGCAGGGCAGGGCAGGGCAGGGCAGGGCAGGGCAGGGCAGGGCAGGGCCGGGCCGGGCCGGGCCGGGCCGGGGCCGGGCAGGGCAGGGCAGGAGAGCTCAAAAAAGCGGCAGGGCGGCCGGGAGTGGACAGGGCCGGAGAAAGCGGCGGGGGCGGAGGGGCGGGGGGATCAGGGCCGCCAGTGTTTTGGGATTAGGGCAGCCCATGTTTTGGGATTAGGGCCGCCAATGTTTTGGGATTAGGGCCGCCAGTGTTTTGGGATTAGGGCCGCCAGTGTTTTGGGATTAGGGACGCCCGTGTTTTGGGATTAGGGCCGCCAATGCCTTGGGATTAGGGCCGCCAATGATTTGGGGCTAGGGACGCCTGCGGGAGCTAGCAGCAAAGTCAAAAAAACTTTTTGCGAAAAAAATCACTTTAGGGATTAGGGCTGACCCCCTAGAGACAGAAATTCCTTCGAAGAGCTTCAAAATTTCAAAATGGATTTGGTCAGGGCGCCAACTGCGCTGGCGAACCCTAAACCCAAAGGCCCTAAACCCTAAACCCTAAAACCCTAAACCCTAAACGCTAAGGCCCTATAAACCCCAAACCCTAAACCCAAAGTAGCACGTCGAGAGCTTCAGTGTGCTCTGAGAGATTTCTAGCACCGGGCGTCGTTGATGGTATGGCAGCTGGAAGCAGCCTGGTCTGCGATGTTACCCATGCCCGTCTTACGCGCACATAAATACATGAATACCTGCATCTGTCTGTATGTATGTATGTATGTACGTATGTATGTATGCATACACGCACACACATTGCGTGTTTACACGTACAGTATACAGATACATATAGTCTTTTATTCGTTGGTAGATACAGATGAAGATGTAGATTTTGCTTTAGATATAGGTACTTAGTCTACGCATGCGCACATTTAGGGTAGTTTCTTGAAGTTTACGTGTATGTGTACTTGTGCTTGTTTGTTCAGCTGTCCTGTACATGCGTGTGCAGATGTGTACAATCCTGTGTGGCTAGGCCAGAGTTTGGCAGAGGGCCTTGATAGTGCGAACAGTGTTTTGATTATTATTTTTTTGTTATTGTTATTATTATTGTTATTATTATTACTATTATTATTGTTATTAATTTTTATTATTACTATTATTATTATTATTATGTTTTATACTAAAGTTGTGTAACAAGGCATCCCATGCAATACTATTCGAATCATTCCTCTTGTTGATGCAGTACTCGGACCCTGCTGCTGGCAGAGTCCCGCCACGGAAGCCGCGATGCTTCAGCTTTTCGCAATGGCACGGACATCCAAGTGCGCAGGGTTTTCATAGGTTTGGGATCTAAAGCCCCGAAGCCCTCGGCCAAACAACCCCAACCCTTACAATCCTACTCAACTCCCGACAAGTCGTTACTGAACCCTGACTAAGAGCCCTTATTGCAAGACTACTCCCCAACATTTCTTGCAGAACCTTTATCGAGAGAGCCTGCTGTAGCCTCCCTAAAAGCTCTTGTGCCTTACCAAGAGTTACTAAGAGCCGTTAGTACGTTTGTCACCACAGCACCCTAAACCCTACACTGCCCTAATCCAAACCTTAAAACCCTTAAACCCCTAAACCCCTAAACCCTAAACCCTTAAACCCTAACCTGCAAGCCCCCAAGACCCTTAAACCCTGGACCCTCAAACCCATAAACCCCTGAAAAACCCATAAACCCTTCAAGCCCCAAAATCCCTGAAACCAGGCCGATGAAGCGGACAGGGCACTGGAAGATCCCGCCTGGTCCTTGCAGCCCTTCGTCCTCCGAAACTCGGTTTCCCAGTATTATTAACACCAAATAGGTAAGGAAAAAGGGCACCCTGATTTCTATTCTAGTGGGAAACCAAGGAAAAGATCCGCGGATTCTGGCTCCTTGGCCTCAAGGGAAAAAGGGGGCCTTTAGGAGTCTCGGAGTAGGGTGTTCTGGGGTTTAGGGTTTGGGGCTTAAGGAGGGGCCTCAACAATTGCCTATGTTGTTTTCTTATAAATTGTACCAGAAAAGACCCCGAAACCCCATTCTAATTTGTTCTTATAGTCACACTATAAAGGACCCCAAAACCCTATTCTAATTGTTAAGGCCCCCTATAATCATACCAGAAAGGACCCCAAAATCCTATTCTAATGGTTAAGGGGCCCCTACAGTACCAAGAGACTCCGAAGGCCTCTTGAGCAAGGGTTCCTCTACAGGCTCCTTTGAGGAAGGGTGCTTGTACGGGTATTCCAGAGACTCCAAAACCCATGTGCTGAAGGAATAGACGCCTTAAGTCTTGCTAGGGTTCCTATTGCAGCTTAAGGCATAATTCCTTAAGTCAGGAATAGACCTTAAACCTTACTAGGGCTCCTCTTGCATTTTAGGGTAGATTCCTGAATGAAAGGGCGTTGGAGTCTCTGGGAACTAGGGCTCCTACAGTTGGTGATATAAAGATCCTGCATTACCCAGAACAAGGAATATACCGTACTGCCCATGGTTAGAGTCCTTAAGGTAATGCTCAGGATTTATATCATCAGCCGTATTGCAGTTTAAGGTGTTCGGATCACAGAGAGGCTAGATGGAGGGTCCGGGGGGCTGGTTTGACTCTCCCAAAGGGTCTAAAGTACCTACTGCTGTTGATGATAAAAATCCTGCATTATTATATCATCAACTGTGTGGGTGCCTTTATGGGTTCCATAGAATGGATATTTAGGGTCTACTTGTGGCCCAAAAGACCTACCCCTTTAAGGAACGCTATATTTACCTCTCTCTCTCTCTATATATATATATGATATATGATATATGATATATGATATATGATATATAGAAACCATAATAAGGGAACCCTTAGAAGGTAGGTCTGTTCGTCTAAGTCTACACCTTAAACCCTACACCCTAAACCCTAGACCCTGAAGATGAATCTTCTTCCCGGGTATCTTTTTTTTGGCCCCGACTCCAGGAGCGGCAGCCGGCGCTAACCCAGGAAGCGCTGCTGCGAGCTGCTCAGGCTTCGATGCTGTAGAGGGGGGGGTTCGGGTTAGGGTTTAGGGTTTCGGGTTTCGGGTTTAGGGTTTAGGGTTTACGGTTTCGGGTTAGGGTTTAGGGTTTAGGGTTTAGGGCTTAGGCTGTATAGGGGTGGGGTTGGGTTTAGGGTTTAGGCTGTTTTTTTCAGCTCTGGGCCTTCGGTTTCTGAGAGCCTCTGGCTCGATCTTCAGGGGTCGGAGTACTCGGCTCGAGCTGGCGCATGCTGTGACTCCATCCATAGTAGTAGTAGTAGTAGTAGTAGTAGTGGTAAGGAGTACTACTATTCATTACTATTCGTATTGATAGCGTTACATCTCTATCCTTTTCGCCGGTGCTGCGGATCTTTCCATGGGTCCCATCGGAAGGGGAATCTGATGAAACAGACAAGGCCAAGGGGGTACAGGGGCTAGCGGATGCAGCCATGCTGAAGGGGTCCTCTAACCCCTCCCGGGTCGTAGACGCCGTGCAGACGTTTACCTTATTTGCATCAAGCCCTCTATGCCCCCTAAACCCTAAACCCTAAACCCGAACCTTTAAAGAGGCAAGAAATCTTCAACTCAAGCCCTGTATACGCGCTAAACGGCCGCTGCCTCTGAGCAGGAGACCGGCGCCACCGTGCGAGTCGGCTACTCCTGGAGCATCGCGCAAAACCGAGGCGAAGGTCCCCGAGAAATTCCGCCTCTCGGCACGGTCAGCGTCCCAATTTGGGTGGTTTTAAGAATTAGGGTTCACATGATGAGTATCCTACTACGCTTCACATATATATATATATATGTATATATATATATAGATAGATAGTAAGTGTATATATATATATAGAGTATATCTCCCGTTGTTGTTGAAATAGCCAGTTTACATATAACATACACGCAACCCATGGCAGATTAGCGCAAACCCCATGTGTCTAGCACAAATCCTTGTGTCCTAGTGGCAGATCCTAACATGGAAAGCTTGTCTTGCTTCGTTTTGGGTTTCTACGATGCTTCAAACATCTGCACATTCTGGACGCGACAGTCACTAGAGATCAACTTCAAGATTAGAAGCCTGAAGAATTAGTAAGGTTCTTCCCTTATAGGCTCGATGACAATAAAAATTAAGGTATGGTATACCCCCGTTGCTGAGGTTGATAGACTATCTTCGGAGCGAGATGGACCAAGGTGAGCTCCCGCACATTTGCCGGCACTACAGGGCAGTTCTGCGTTCACAAGCGCCCTCGCCGTAGTTTCCTCGTTTGTGGTCGATCTTCGAAGTGCAACAGGCTTCAAGCTTTACCCGCTAAGCCCTAAACCCTAGACCCTTACCCAACATGATCATGAGCATCCCGAAAGGCATCTACGATGATGCGGAGTTCCTGGAGCCCAGCTATGCCTTCGTTCGCCACTTAATCCGTCGCAGGTCGTAGCTTCTAGGATTCCCCCACTGCCACTTGAAGCCCTCCTAAACCCAACCCTAAACCAAGAAACCCTTAGACCCTTGCCTCGCAGAGGACATGGGCTTAAAGCTTGATGGCATGCCGGGCAGCGAGGACATCCACCCTGCATCTTGTCTAAGAACTTTTCTGCTAGACTCTGGTCTGCTGAATAGTGTTCGGTGATGTTTGACTTTTCATATTTTGTTTTGTTCAGCCCTGTTCAACTTGAGGCAAAGCTAGGGGGGTTGTTCTCAACCAAACCATACTGCGAGCGTGCGCAGAGCTGGGATCTTCACTTCTGACCTAGCGTCAGCCTAGGTCATACGTTCATGGAACGGGTCTGCTTTCTCCGTGCCCGACACGGCCGTGGCAGTGCACATGTTGCTTGGTGCAGCAGCTTAGCGCTCGCCCTTTTGAGCTCCAGCGGGTTGTCCTGAGGCTCTGCAGAACCATGGCCACCAGTTCTGCGACCGGTTCTGCCGAAAGGTTTTGGGAGCTGCAGAAGGTAGATCGCGGAATCATCAGCACTCTTCCTACACCCTAAACCCGATCAGCACTCCTTCCACAGAACCGTACCCAAGCACTCTCTGCACCCACCCGGTACCTATCCGGGGCTGCCGGTCTAAAGCTCGAGAACCCCAAAGAAGCTCTGGACCTAAACCCTAAGCCCTACCTGTAACCGAAAAGACCTACCTTTTTAAGGAACTATATATAGAAACCATAATAAGGAACCCAAAAAAGGTAGGTCTTTTCGGTTGCAGGTAAACACCACAAAAAGCTCCAGCGTCCTAAAACCCTAAACCGCAAGGGGCCCTAAAAAGGCCTGAAGGTCTAAAGCAATACTCATACTAATGACAATAACGATACCAATAGACATGATACAAATCATAACAATGCTAGTAATACTCATTATACGAATGATAACAGTAACACTAAGAATTCGAATAGTTAATACTCCTAACAGTCATACCATCGACGCCACCACCACCACCACCACCACCACCACGACTACTACTAATAATAATAATAACAAAAATCTTAGTAATAAATATGAATAGAACTAGTAACACTAAGAATGATAGCCCACCATCCTGAGGCTCGGTGGGGCCAGAAGCGCCGTCGGCTGGCACACGCACGGCGCCACGGTGCAGATGACCGTGCATGGCCGGACCGGCTGGGCCTCAAAAGAGCCCCAAAAAACACGATAGGGGCCTTCATAGGGGTTTAGGGTTTAGGGGTTTAGGGTTTAGGGTTTAGGGTTTAGGGGTTTAGGGTTCAGGGTTTTGGGTTCAGGGTTTTGGGCTCAGCGTTTGGGTCTAGTATTGGCTGTGATTGTGGTATAGTTACACACTTAAGGAGGTTTTGGGTATATTGGAGTAATTACCGTTCCATACGGGGGCCTTGACAACTAGAAGAAGGTTTTGGGTATGTTGTAGTACGGTTAGGGAATGTTGGTGCCAACGGCGGTAGCTTTCTTTTGCTTAGGCATTTAATGGATGTGGGTTGTTTCTTAGCGTTGGTTTTCAAGCTTTGAGGGTAGGTGGCCTTAATTTTCTGTCGTTTGGTCCGTATGGACAGGATTGAAGTTATGTTAGGCCCGGTGATTGAAGGAGAGATTTCCTGGGTTGGGTTGGTGGCCCCCTGGGCACACTGGCGGATCATAGGAGTTGTGTACCTTGCACGAGAGACGGACCGCCCTCATGGGAACTCGTCGCGCTGTCAGTGGGCAGTTCGTGATGTTTCGTAGAGCTCTCCACATCAAGGTTTGTGAACCTGTCTTGCCAGCATCACTCACTTTATCCGCACATCATTCGCTACTACGGCCCTGTACTAAACAGCCCAACCGCGCCAGGAAGCGATGGTTCCTCTATCCGCCGGGGCACTATCCACCCGGTGATGGCCCTGGTGGCGGCTTCTCATTGACGGCCGCACAGCTGGAACTGCCCCAACCCAAGAAGCTTAAGAATCGTGATAGATGGCAAGGTCCCGTATGATAAGCCCTAAACCCTAAACCC